ATACTATAATTTGGACGTGTTCCTCATTTCCCAACAAAAAAAACAATTAAACAAATTATGAAAAACAACTTTAACAAACAATGTTCTTTAAGTTTCACGGAACTTTTAGAATATTTTAAACCGATTTATCCCGATTTACATGGTCGTCTAATGTCTCTTATAACCGAAAGAAAAAGCCTAGATTATTATTTAAGTAAATTAACTAATGATTATATTATTGGCTTTTTTGAAGGTGATGGCTGTTTCTCTTATAATGGCTCTAAACGTCAACCTATCTTTATAATATCTCAGCACGCTGCTGATTATTTATTATTTAAAGCTATAGTACTCAAATTGTTAAATTTAAGTGCTAAAGATATTGAATTAAATAATTTGTAATCTTACGTTAAAGGATTAAAAGTAACTGTTAATGACACAAATGGAATAGAAATTATAATTTTAAGGATGAATATTTTAAGAGATACTATTATACCTATGTTTAGTGGGAATATAAGAACACCAGCTAAATTGGAACAATTTAATGCGTGGCTTAAAGACCATTTTAATTTACCTCCTCCAAGCTTAAATACAAATATTACCCAAGAATGGGTAAAAGGCTTTACTGATGCTGAAGGATCTTTTTACTTGAAAACAAGTAAAAATTCTACACGTCGTTTAGGCTTTCAATTACAATTAGGTTTTGAATTAAAACAAAAAGGTATACAAGCTTAGGATATTCTTAATTTAATTGGTTCTCAATATTTAGGTTTAAGTGGTACTTCTTATTTTAATACTAGTACTTTAATGGGTAGTGCTATAATTTATAATACTGTCATCTTAGATACTATTCTTATTCCATTTTTCTCAACTACACCTTTTTTAACTAGAAAAGAGTTCGATTTTATCATATGGTGCCATATAAGAGATCTTATGAAAGATAATCTACATTTATCTCCGGAAGTAGCCTATAATATATAGTTGCTGCGTCAACTACAACGTACTAATAGAATTTATATTCATGACAATGTTTTAAGCTCTATTAGTCTTGAACTTAAAAATAATCCGAAGAATTAGGAGATTTTTAAGAAAAATATTAAAGAAGCAGAGGCCAGAGTTAATACTAATTTGCTATCTAACAATCAGTCCTAAATTTAAAAGAAGAAAATCGTCCTACGGACGAATGTGAATAATTTGCAGAAAAGTACTTAAACATCCCACGCGAAGCGGACCCGCTACACGGTCACGACACGTGCTAAAACTATTTTGGTAAGAATGTTTATTTAGTATACTATTAATAGTACTTTTCTCAGAGACTATACATTCTCTATATTTTACTATACATGAGTGGGAGGGAGAGGTTTTTATATATATATATAGCCTCCGGGTGTGTACCCCCCCCTTTAGGGGGGGGCGTACAATCTAGTTTAGTAAAACTAAAGACATAGTCCATATAAGCATAGTTTACGAAATGCGGTTATTCAATGCTTATAAAATATCCTATGTAGAAAGGATATACCTACGTAAAAGTAGAGTAAAAGTCGTCTGTTCTACGAATAAAAGGCCACGCGAGTTGGGTTTATACCGCCGTGAGGCAGGTAGGATTCTATCCTCAGAGAGAATGGTAAACTTAAGATAGTAGGTCCTAGTACGAGAGGATCGGACTGAGTGAACCAATGGTGGAAATAATTAAAATGGTTAGTTATTTTATAGCTACGTTCATAGACGTAAACTCCTGAAGCCATCTTAAGGAGGAAACGACATCTTTTAGTATGTTTACCCTTTGAGTACCTGGTAGAACACCAGGAGTAGTTTATTACTATATACTAATTCCTTATTAATTCACTTAACCCGGTTAGTTAATACATCCAGAACTACGTGAAGCCTGATCCATCCCATAACATGATGGTACGTAGAGCAACTTTAATGCCCGGCTAACTTATTATCAATTTTCTTCCTACTCAGGTTAAATCTGGCGCGCCGTGCACAGCACGAGTTGAAATTTACCTCTCACCGACTACGTCGACTATACCTAGCAACAAGGTGAAGTAATGCGATTAATATAAATAAGAGTTGGTAAGGTCGAAGGGGAATATGTAAAGTACGATAACGATTAGAAATTTGGTTAAATAGTTTATAATCGTGATACCGTTAATTCTACTAGGTCTGATTAATGATGGAGAGTATATTGAACGTAGCTCCTTACCTTACCGACTACGTCGACTAGACAAATATTATCACTGGAGTAAAATTATTAGTTCTACCTTACAATTTAATAATACCTGCGTGTCGCGCCAGAGTAGAATAAATGAAGTTTAGATTATATAGGCGACTACGTCGGTAAGTAATATTTCTTATACTATCCCCTACTATTAACCTACATATACTAGAGTTGTAAGGAGGGTATAAACCATTATCAATTAAAGTAGACCTACCATATACCAACGTAAACATACAGGAATTATACTGATACCTATAATAAATTGAATATTGAGGATATACTACCACTAATATAGGATAACCATTGGAACATTAAATAAGAGTACACTAATAACTATGGTAAAGATAAATTAATAAATACTACAATCTACCGACTACGTCGACTACTTCCACCCGGCGGGATTACTTTTAAGATGACTATCATATAGGAAGGCTACCAACGTATACTACCGACTACGTCGACTCCAAAAGTAAACTAGATTATACCTACACTCTATACTAAATACTAGTTATACAAGCATACATTGAAAAGTAAATTAATTGAAGAATTAGAGATATGTTAATTTAAAGGATACTTAGAATATACAACAATCACATATACAAATAGGATAAAATAGTAACAATAAGCCAAGTATTAGGTGGTGCCTGAATAGTTCGTGTCACTACGGGACACTTAGATCTCGTGTGTCGCTAGGTGCTCCAGAAGTTTAGATGGATATGTTAGTGTAATAATAGGTAGGTGTATAGTATGTTATCCACTGAGAGTCCACCGACTACGTCGACTGAGTTATATTAGAGGTGCCTTAGTATATGTTAGTATAATTGATATAATAGGTAGTAATTAGTTTATAGGTGACAGTCCCTTAACTTGTAGGTTAGTATAATTCTAAGTTGGTAGTATGAATATTTTAAAGGTATAAGTAGTAATAGTACAATCTAGTGAATAATCTATTTGATAATGTAATGAGTATATGATAAGACCCTACAAATAATTCCATGATGGATAAGTTAGATGATAATGATAATATTACAATAAATTTAGTAATTGGGTAAATAATATAATAATATTCTACTACTATAGATACTCCTCCATCCGTACTTTAACTAGAATAAAGGTAGCCGCTACGCGGCGATAATCTTAATAGGTAGATCTACTTCATACGTATATTGATCGTTTACCAAACTTATCTTTATCTATAATTTTCTTTACTATCAATAAACAAATAATAAAGGTTATAATAACGTAGAAGGATAATAATAAAGTATACTGATTAATTAGTCTAGTGTATAATGTTATATACAGGTACAAATATAACCAACCGGCTACGTCGACTAAAGACTAAATATAAGGTAATAACATACTATAATTAATAAGTTGGTTTAATTACCAGAATAAACAATATAGTCAAATACCATAATATTCTATACTTAACAATACTCGACGTAGTCGGTGTACAGTTAAATTAAAAGTATAGTCGACGTAGTCGGTAGATTGTAGTATTTATTAATTTATCTTTGATTTTACTATACATTGTACATTATCAATTATTTATAGGTTTATTCTAGGTTATTTGTATATTACTTTTTATATTGTAGATTATTAATTTATCACTATATACTACCCCTTTGATATTTATTATTATACTTGTTTTACTTTATGTTATATTCTTTACCAGTGTACACTCTACATATTATACGTATTGATTCGTATTATTGTATCATATAAAATTAGGAGTAAATTACTATGTGGACTGTTATACTACCCGTGTACACTTTAATTCTGGATTGTATTCTTTAATTTATACTACTATATTACTCTACGTGATCATATGTTAATTTTTGTATACTATTTAATTTATCCATGTACTACATTATATATTCTTATTATTTAAGTTCTTTGTAGTTTATTCTAGTTATTATCTACGTATTATTCAGGTAATTTACCTTACACTTTACGCTACATTTTTGTATGAGTATTCTCTTTAATTATTACACTAAAGTGTAGATTATTTGTACATTATCATCTTTATAACCTTAATTATATTGGTAATCACCCTGTTGGTATACTATACTCTATTCTAATTTACCACTACGTTATTTTATAAATTGATGTATTATCTACTTATTAATTATTTCTACTATACCCCTTTATAATGGTTTATTAATATTTTAGTTTATGTTGATTATCTATCATTACGATTATATTTCTACGTTATTTTACCTAGTTTACTCATTATCCATATTATATTACCGAGAGTTTACATTATAATATTAGTGATGTACGTTATTCTTTATACTACACTTTATTAGATTATTATATTGTACTACTACCGACTACGTCGACTTTACACGTAGGTTATTGTATACTAATTTATACCACGATACATTATATTCTACTTATTATCACTATATTTATCATACTATACATTATCCATATTACACTTTATATTACTATAAATTAAATTATACTCAATATTATAGTATATTGTTATCTATTGTTATCTATATTCTATTCTCTTTAAATTACTGTTTTATTTATACTATAATATTAGTGTACATAACTTATTATTAGTTATTTATACGTAGATTATAATATACCAATTTATTATTTACCAACTTATTATTGATGTAGATTAAATTACTTACCTAGGTGATATTAAATCATTATTTAACTATTTACTGGTATTGTATCATAGACTACTACCGACTACGTCGACTATACACTTTTATTATATTGGATTATTACATTTATACTATTAAATATTATGCTTATTTTACCAGATTATAGGCTTAAATTAAAAGAGTAGTGATGAAAGGAATTGAACCTTTGTTAAAAGCGTATGAAGCTTCTGTTCTACCATTGAACTACATCTTTAAATAATGATTCATATAAATCTTAAACCTATAAATTGATTATAAATATAAAGAATATTAAACATGACAAAATTATACCTCTCTGACTATCTAACGGTATAACAACATGTAGAACTATAATTCCTCCTAGAGAGTTCTAAATTTATTATTATCCAGGTTATTGATAAAGATTTAGTTGTATATTACTTTATTGGTTATTATTATTTAACTATATTGTATACATTTATATTTTATATTATTAATTACCTCCCCGCGTACAGGTTATTTAATTCTCATCAGGATGTATTATTTAGATTTACCACTACTCAGATATTCCTACTAGTATATTATTGTTTATTTAACTAGATTATACCCTAGTCGACGTAGTCGGTTACCTACATACAAATAATAATAATTAGTACTAAAATAACAATTAAATTAACCCGTATAATAAACATATTAAAGTATAATGGGAAGGTAAATTAATGTAGTTGAATAATATGTACTTATCTTGGTATTATACATTTTTATACTCATGTATTTTATAGGTTTATATTGTTAAACAGTTATATCTGTACTGATTATATTATTTGTATTATTTTATATTGTACTATTATATTACCCATTAACCTAGAAAATTTATACTTACATATATTTAACCTTGTATATCGGTATTTATACTTATATTAATCATCTTCCTACTTACCTACTAGTAAACAACATGTATATTTCTGAGTAATAACCTGGGTATATTATTATCATCTTGATACTTATACCAAATTAGTACAGGTTGATATGGTAGTTTATAGTATTGTTAGTATAGTAATATATTAATTTTGTATATAGGTTTTACTCGACGTACACTTTACATAAATCTCTATCATATTATTCTCTTTATTATATTACCTATTTACCTTATTCATCACTACTTATACTTTACCATATTGAGTTATATATGTTATGTTAAACTATTTGATTACATTGTACTACACTTATCTTTGTATTGTATTCATTATTTATCATATTAAGTTATCTTGTACGTTGTTTATACTAGATTTTTAATCTATTACTTATTATTCCATATTATACTCATATCTAGTTTATTATATTTGATTATTATATGTTGGTATATTATTTGGTATTATATTGTTGGTTTACTACTTTATATTATTATTATTAAACCTCTCACTACCAATTATTCCTCATTTATTTGTACTCTGTATTATCCTATTATTATGTTATACTACACTGTTGTACATTACCTTAGTATATTTAATTATTATGTTGATTATTTATCGGATTATTTATCTTTATATGTAGGTTATTTTATTACCTGACTAAATTAAATCATAGTAAAAACTAGTATAAATATGTAATAGAATGTAGTTTAAAAGAGTTTAATATAGTGTAGAGTGTAATAATACTAGGATATATTATAGAGTAGAATATATAATAACGTACACATTAGTGTATAGTGGTATGTATATATAACAGTGTATTGAGTAAAAGTATAATGTTGAAGGTATCGTAGTTCAATTAACCAATATAAAAATAGTAGATTTAAAATAACAGTATAATAGTATAATAGGTATATGTAAATAGATTGATATAATATTGTAATGTATATTTATATGTTAGATTATTCTACATTGTACTTTTCATTATCTTGTACACATTAATCTACCTAGACGAGTACTACTATTATCTTTATATTATAAGTTATTATTACACTTTATCTATTATATTGATTTATATTGTACGTTAACATGATTCGTTCTTTTATATACATATGTTTATCCTGTACTGGTATATTATAATGTTGGTACTGTACACAGGTGAATTATTTTAGTATACACATTCATAACTTATAGTATTTTACTCATACTTATCTACCTACTTATCCACCTATCTAGTTTATTGTATGTTATCAAGTTATCAGTTCTTGTACTACTCTGTGTTACTTATTTATACTATTATATTACAAACTACTCAATTATCATATCCATGATTACTATATTAGTTAATTATTTATCTTTATATATGTTATTTGAATATTATATTTATTTTAGGATTATGATATGTAGGTTATATACGTTATAATATTATTCTTTGTACACTAATTTATACCATTACTTATTATTATATAATCATCACATTATTACTTATTATACTAGGTTATGTTATATTATTGTATTATATGTAGTTATATATTAATTTATATGGGTGTATTCTTGTATTAATTCTACTACTCATTATCTTTATATACCTTTATCTATATATTACTTAATTTACCCATATACTACTCTTATTTTAAATCTATTACTTATTATACTAGGTTATGTTATATTCTAATTATTATCCACCTATCTATTTTATTGTATTATTGTACTATTCTGGTTTATCATTCTGGTTTTTACTTTAACTTATTATTATCATTGTTATATTATTCTAATATGTTACTTAATTGTAATTACCTATACTACTCATTATACTTTTACTCTACATTGATTATTATTCTGTTATATTGATTTTATAAGTTTATTTACACTTATCTTTGTACTATTTGATTATTATATTTATGTTATATTACATTATTTATATATTTTATTTTTTATTATCCCCCTTTCTTCCAATTTATATCAAATTACTAAATATAATGCCTGTCATATCCCTAAATTACAAGTTGTCGATCATGTTCTCGATAATTCTATTAAACGTTCCTATACTTCTTTCAATTTAACTCAAGTTTATAAAAATGGTGAAATTATTACTTCTCAATCTTTAAATTTATCTAAATTTAAACAAGCTCCTAAAGATGCTCCTAATCCTATTAAGTTTATTACTATGGATTTTGAAACCTATGGTACTGATACTAATGGTTTAGGTAAACATACTGTATATGCCTGTGGTTTTTGCTTTAATAAAGATGATTACAAACTTTATTATCTTTCAGATTACCCTGATTCTAACCATCTTATTAAAGATGTTATTAAGTTTATTTCTCGTCCTAAATATAACGGTTGGAATGTTTATGTACATTATAAGATGATATAGCTTTTTTGTTAGATCATCTTATTAATTATACTCCTGAGACTAAAGTTAAGATTATTATGAGAGATAGTCATTTTGTTAAAATTACTTATCAACCAGCTTTTATTAATAATAGTCGTACCAAAGATCTTGATAATCCTATTTATCGTTATCCTGTTACATTAAAATTTATAGATTCTCTATCTCTATAGCCAGCTTCTTTATCTAAGCTAGGTAAAGCTTTTGATGTCCCTATTAAAAAGGGTTCTTTTCCTCATGAATTTGCTTCGTTTGATAATCTTACTTATGTAGGTGTTCATCCAGTTACAGGAGTTCCAGATTGGGATTTTAAAGTTGAGTTATTAACTTATTTAATTTCTGATGTAGTTTCTTTATGGCAAGTTATTAACAAATTTCGTGAACATATATTTTTAAATCACAGAGTTAATATTCTTAAATATCCAACTTTAGCGTCTTTATCTTTTGCTATATATCGTACACAATTTCTTACTAAAAATCAAATTGTTTCTTTGTCTGGTAATATTGATCTACGTATACGTGAATCATATTTTGGTGGTTTGGTCGATGTATATAAACCTTATGGTCGCAACTAGTTTTATTATGATGTAAATAGTTTATATCCCAATGCTATGTGTATGGATATGCCTGTTGGTCAACCAACTCATATTACTGGTAAAATTTCTTTAAAGGATCCTAAATTATTCGGTTTTGTTTATGCTAGAGTTATTACTCCAAAGGATTAGCATATCCCTGTTTTACCTCGTAGATTTAATAATACTTTAATTTGCCCTCTTGGTACTTGGAGTGGTTGGTATTTTACAGAAGAATTACGTGATGTAGTTAAAAATTATGGTTATACTGTAGATATTACTGAGGCTTATGTATTTGAACGTGGTAGACCTTTTAATTCTTATGTTGAACACTTTTATGAAGTTAAATCGAATGCTACTAATGAGGTAGAACGTTTTATAGCTAAATTAATGTTAAATAGTTTATATGGTCGTATGGGTCTTAGACCACAAAAATCTACAACTCAAATATTTCATGATTCTCCAACTGATAAAAATAAATTTGATTCTTTTATTACTTCTAATGATATACTTAATAGTATTACTTTATCTAGTGGTGTAAATATTGTTACCGGTTCTCCAACTAATTAGTCTGATTTTAATCCATTTTATAGTAATGTAGCCTAGGCTTCAGCAATTACCACCTATTCTCGTATCAATATTAATCGTTATAAACAACAATTAGACTTATATATAGGGATTAACGTGTTGGTATTTTAATAATGCAACAAGTCCTTCCGGTACTTTAAAGAGAAGGTTATTTGTTAAAAGAGTTTCTAAGCCTTTAGTTTAAGATTTATATATACTTTTTCTCTTTTGAGGTGGCAGAATGGTTATGCAGCGGGCTGTAAACTCGTGGGAATTCCCGAAGTTGGTTCGATTCCAACCCTCCACAGTATAATTTCTGGTACAGTTAATAAAGGTAGATGTTCACCGTGTGTAGAGGAAGAATGCACTAAATTTTCATCAATATTAGTTAAATACCCACCAAATTGATTTTCACCCCAGTCACGAGGTTTACATACCATAGGTAAAATATAAGGAGTAATATATAAAAGAGGGGTAATATTAGATTTTAAGGAAAGCATAAGAGATTTAGGAGTATAATTTTCATCAGAGAAAAGCTCAATACCAACATCATCAACACTATCCAAAACATCTACATTCACTATCCAACCCATAAAGTTAAAATAAACCAGCACAAATAAAAAGATTAATATAATAACCACCAATATTGATAATATCCTTTTCAATCATTAAAGCTCGGTGTACCATCTCAGCTTTAAACTTAAGCAAATCATCACCAGTTAAGTTAGTACGGTTTAAATTTTGAACACACCAATCATGTAAAAGAAGCAACACGTTTAGATAAAGAAAGAATAGAATTACGAGGGTAATAAA